ATTTTTTATTTTTTATAATGTTTAGTTTTGGCGTGGACAATTGGGTTTTCGTTTTTTTATATTACAAATTTAGAATGCTATTGAAGCTCCAATGCCAAAATAATATATTGTTAATTATGTAAATGGTACTAGAATAATAATATAAAATATAATAATGATGTATAATATATGTATATATATATATATATAATATTTAGTACGAAAAAAATAAAATGGGAAAAATGAGACGATTCGAGACAAAAATATTTAAAATCGATACCGACATTGTTTAAAAACGGTTCAGTACCGGGAACGGGACAAAAATAAAGAAAATCTTTTCGGAACGGGACCATTTCGGTCAGGTTCGGTACAAAAAAAATTTGGTTTTTTTTGCCCACCCCTAGGGTAAGGAGTTTGATTTTCCTTCCTTAAATTTTTCCTTTCTTTACAATATGATGGAAGGTTTGAATTTTTTGAGCATTATGCTAAACTTTCTTAGGGTAAGGAGTATGTGATCTTCTGATAGGGTATTAGGCTAAAATTAATTGATACCCTAATTTCATTATTTATTTAGTAAAGATGAAATCGTTAGTAATTATTCGACCAACTTTAGCTTTTTTGGATTAAAAGATATCAATAGTCTAATTTATATTGTTTCGACTTACCATAGCACATAAGTTTGATAATGTTTGCTCAAATTATAATCATGACCACAAAAATATATAAAAATGACGAAAATTAGTCTTGCATTTTCTCCATTATAATCATAACCATGAAAGTATCTAAAACGCTCATCTCTCATCTATAAATATAGGACCCAAGGCTCAATACACTAAACATGAAATAAATATAAAAGAAAAACTGCTAAGTGTTGAAAAAACAAAAAGGAAAAATGAGTAAAAATGACCTTAACTTACTTATGACTGTGCTGGTTTTATCTATTCTGGTTTCTCGAGTTGCTCCTTCAACTTCAGGTAAATCTTCAACTATATGTTTTCTGATTTAAGTATTATTTTCAGTCTTTGTTATTAATTCCATTTTTAATTTATTATGATAAATTTGTCAAATATTTTTCTTTCATATTCATGAAGAGGATACACACCTAGGACATGGGAAACAAGCTACAAAAGTACGTACGGTACCTTCATCATATTTTTGTCTCACCTTAACTGCATAAAATTTGTGTTTAATGAAATTTGTGCGTTGTATTCTTGTGTTTCAATTCTTTTGTGAAAGTTTGATTAAATTTTAATTATAATCCACAATATTGGTCTCTTTCGAAATAAAACACATGGTATAGTAGCATATATAAAACTTATATACTAATAAGTTGCAAAAAAAATAAAAAAACGTAAACTGATCATGAGAGATTATTTTTGTTCTGCCTAATTCTGGTCTTGGATGAATTGCCGTTCGATTCGTCTTGTCGAGGTACTTGCAAAATTTCAATCTAATCAGAGTCTTTTTAAATTTTATTGTTCTATCCAAAGTGATTTGAGTTATTCTCAGTCCGACCTAATTATGGCGTCATACATCACTGTTTTTAGTTTATCCCTTGTTGGACTCTTTTTGTTGAGACAATTGTACCTCTAAAATTTCAGCTCAATTGAAGTTTGCTTGCTAATTCTCGAATTAAAATATTTGGGACGTTTTATGTTTTACCCAATACTGTGTCATTTGACATCTGTTTCAGACAAACGATGGATATGACCTCAGTCGAGGATGGTCAAATTTACAAAATTTCAGTCGAATCTGAATCCATTTGGTCGCTCAATATTTTATTTAAATTTATGCATGCAAAATCAATTTTCATTCTGTGTCGAGTTCGTGATAATCTTAAATAGTTCGATCCTTATATGTATTTGACAAATCTGTGCACTATGTTTTATGTATGTTAAAACATTGATATGGAAAATTAACCCAACATTCTACATGTTTGTTTTTGTGGTTATTTGGAATTAAATACTCATATTTATTATTTTGCAATTATGATTAATCTTGATGGTGTCCTAATTTGTATTTTTTAACAGAAACAAATTAATGAAGCAAAATCAATCCCAAGGGCAAGCATTGGAATGAAAAAAATAAAGGTGTTTTCTGGAAGAATGAATGTTGAGATCGATGATTATAATCCTGACCCAGGACCAAATCATCCTGGAAAACCTCCAAATCGTCCACGAAAATCTCCTCCCAAAGGAAAATCTCCTCCTAAAGGAAAATCTCCTCCCAAACGACCTCTTCAAAGTCCACGAAAATCTCCTACCCGTAAAACCTCCTCAACGTCGATGAAGACCTAGAAAAGTGTTTTGTCTTAATTTCTAAATTGTAGCCTCTTTATGGTGTTAAATGAGTTATACATGGAAACTGAAATCCATGGTCTAAGTTTAAAAAGTGTCTTGTCATGTTTACGTGGTTTTATAGAATATTATTAAGTGTCTAATAACTAAGGTCTTGTCGTGTTTATGCTTAAATAGAATATTATTAATCATTAAATAAAAAACTTATATTTTCTATTGGCCTAATGTCTCTCATCTCTTTAAGTTTTCGAGTGATAATGCAACAATAACATAATGGTTAATGTAAAGTTTGACATAATACATACATGCCAAAATTTTGTGGCACTTTCTAATGATGCACATCATTTGTGTTACCAATTGTGTCAAAAAGTTATGTTAAACTAGCATTATGCTTTTTCAAAGGCATGGATGGATTTTTTTTTTTTTTCTTTTGAAGTTTTGAGCTAAAAAATACTTTAGTGCATGCTTGGATATACATATATTTAAAAAAAAAAAGTCTTAACTCAAAATTTAACTCATATCTCACTATTCTCAATATTATCAATATAATTAAATAATATCAATCACTCATACTTACACATTAAATCAACTATAATTCATTATTCATAAACTCACATAATTAACCAGAAATGATCTAAACTAACTTTTTCAAAATTAACTCTGCTTAACAACCTAATCAAAACGCAATGTATCTATATCCAAGCATGATATGGGATCTTGCATATTGGACAGGTTTGCCGGGTTAATCGAATAAAATAAGCCAGTGATCTGGTCGAGACGGACCCTCGTAAGTGCTTGATTCACCGGGCTCTGGGCAAAGGAAAATATTGTCAAAAGGCGTGGTCGTTGAGTCGACCACTTCGTACCTTAGCGACAGCTCAGTGTCCACTTCAGACGTGGACAAACGTCGGAATATATGAGGAAATCTCCAGCACGTGGAAAGAGGACACGCGACGCATAAGGAGTGGTCCAGGGCGATAACGGTTTCTGACATTCCCTGACACATGACGACGCATTTTCTGACACCAGGATGGTGGTGGCGAGCGGACGAGCAGGAAGTGTAAGAACATTGGTTTGGCATCATGTCCGACAAACCTAAATGTTTTCAAGAAGATTTCTTGTTAAGCAGCTAAATAAATTAAAGGGAAGTTTTTCTATTTATTTACTTATTATTTAATTAAGTTACTAATATTTATTATTAATAATATATGGTATATATTTATTGTAGTATGTCTTATGGATTCCTAATCCTTTAGGAGAAGGATTACATAATAAATATCCTATATATTTACTTAACATATATGCCACATGCCATAATTAGTTCTCTTTTTCTTGTAGGACAAGGAATAAGTGGCAAGAACTATGAAAGGATGAGCAATTCGTGAATAAGGAGTTCTGGACTTTAATGAGAAGATCTAAGGAGAATTTGGAAAGATTCACCACAAGATCTTTGAAGATTTGGAAGATCGACTATTTTTGGAAAGTCATGTTCTTACTAGATTCTGGAAACGCAAGATTCCATTTGAAGCTCAATTCTGAAGATCTGCATGAAGGATTTCGTCCAAATCAGAAAGCAATCAATTAAGAAGGAAATGGACTCCTAAAAAGAAAGGAAGAACTTGGAGAAGACTCCACCCTAAGGAGTTGTATATATACCATGCTTGATGATCGAAGATATGATGCTGAAATAATTATCTTCCATTCAATATTCGAGCTTCAAGCCTTTTTAGTTTTATTTTGTTCACAGTTCAGTTCAAGGGTTCACGTATCCAAGAACTGAAGCTGTTTAGTTTGTTTTTCTTAATTTCATTCAAAAACTTTTGTGATCAGTACTTAGGGATTAAGTACAGTGGTTAGCTCGAGGGATTCGAGAGATAGAAGTCCACAGGACATGGCCGGAGAAGTAATTGATAGGATCGTGTGTAGTTGTGGCTAGACTAGAAGGGAGTTCGAGTCAAGTAAGTCCAAACTATACAAGTGTTAAACGTTTATCAATGAAAGAGCTCTGAGGGGTAGTGGGACGCTTCCCTGAAGAGTTTTACATCTTCGGTTTATTGCTTCCGCTATTTACGTTGTTTATCCACGTTCTTACATCGTTTTGCGCACTCGAGTAAAAAATATACGTTTCAATTGGCACCAGAGCAGTGTTCCTGTTCTAATCACAGGATAAAGATATTTGGGTCTTTGGGTATGTCACCATGAACTACGACATGTCTGTTCCGCGCCCTCCGTACCTCGATGGTTCGAACTATGGGTACTGGAAATCCATGATGGTAATTTTTCTTCGGTCTCTTGGAAAAGGAACTTGGCAAGTCATCGAATCAGGTTGGTCAACACCTTTGATGGAGAAATCACCTGAAGAAAAAAGGATCCTCGTCCTCTTTTGTTGGTCCTCATGTTCTTTTTGAAAAACTGAGAGATTTGTGGACTGATGCGGAAAGACTAATAGAAGAAGCTAATTTTTGGGCTCTATATGCTATCATGTCTGCTGTAGATCCCACTCGTCACAAGATAATCATTCAGTGCACAACCGCTCAAGAAGCCTGGAGGATTTTGGAAAGACAGTTTGAAGGTACAAACGCGGTAAAAACCTCAAGGCTCCAAAGAGTTTCTACGGAACTAGACGAGATTCGCATGAGGGATGATGAGAATATTGACATGTACTATGCCCGGTTCTGCGATTTAGTAAACCAAAGCGCAATGCTTGGTGAACCGGTTTCTGAGGCAAGACAAGTGCAGAAGTCAATGAGAACCTTACCGGATAGGTTTGGAATTAAGATTACAGCATTGGAGAGTTTTCAAAAAATTCAAAAGCTGGGCATTGATGATCTTCTGGGTGAGTTGCGTACCTTTGAAATAAATCATGGATTTGACTCAATGAAGATAGGGAAAGGAAAAGGCTTAGCTCTAATAGCCAAGGTTCATACACTTGTGTTGGAAGAGGAAGATTCAGATGATGAATCTTTCAATGCTGAAGAGATTATGAAAGCCCTTGCCTTTCTTAATAAAAATGCCTCAAAGCTGAAGAAATTACAGAAGATAAGGTTTCAAGGAAACAAGCCCTCTGAAGGTGGTAAGAACACTTCTCAGCAACTTGGTGAGAGAGGTTCCAGCGTACAACAGTACAAGGTTCAGATCATCGACCAAGGAGTTGAAAGGGACCAATGTCGGGAATGCAAAGGGTTCGGTCACTTTCAGAAGGAATGTCCAAATTTCACGAGGAAGAACAAAACCTATCGAGCCACGTAGGATGATGATGAAGAAGACGATGACCAGCAACATACGAACAACTTTATCGTCACTTCTCCCAACAACTTCACGTGCTATACAGCCTCTCAAAAGCCTTGTGATGCAGATTCAGGTATGTGTTCTTACATGTATAATTCTCATAGTGATTCTGATGATTATGGAGATGGTTCTTTTGAAGTAGACATGGAAACCCATAAGCTTGCATTAGAGACGAGCATCAAAGCTGGAATAATGGTGAAAAAGCTACAAGATCAAATCGAGGTGTTCCATCATCGTTCTGCAGAGCATGAGAAGGAGATCGCCTACTTGAAGGATGAACTTCAGAAAACTCGCGTGATGAATGGGCAATTCAATGATAAGCTGACCAGATCTGATGTTCGTACCAACAATGAGAAACATAAGCTGGATGAATTTGTTACCAAAATCAGGATGTTCGAACACGAGAAGAAGTTGTCCAAGCAGGTATGTGATGAAAACAATTTTGTCATTGAGTCTCTACGTAATGAAATGTTTTCCTTGCAGAAAACTATAGGTGAAAGGGATTCTGATATTGCGGCCGTCAAACAAGAACTCGGTCGTGTGATGGAAGAACATGTGACTCTTCGAAGCCATTGTTCAACCTTGGAACAAAAGCTCAGCAAGAGTGAGGAGATTGTCAAAATGATCAATAAGCCAAAGTCCTCATTTGCTGAAGTTCAAAGGTTGAGTCATCAGATTGTGTGTTCAGACCATAGTAAGAACTCCTCCAATCAGAAACTGAAAGGCAAAGTGGGTGAACCAAGCACGTCTCTGAGTAAGTCCTCTCTAACTTTTGTGAAAGAAGGTTCCAACTCTGATGGTGAGGTTGATCAGGTTTCTGTGAAAGAACATCGTAAACGTTTTGTGAAGAATTTCATTCCTACTTGTCATTATTGTGGAGTTGTTGGTCATACTCGTCCTAGATGCTATAGGATGCTTAATGATTTGTATGCAGGAAGAATAAATGACTGGAACCCCGCTGGTGTTCCAATGAAAACACCAAAACTGAAGGTTGATGTAAAGAACCATAAGCAACAGAAATTTGGGTTCCCAAAAAGAATCATAATTGTCTTTCATCTCTATTTGCTTCAAAATCCACTTCTAATTGTGATTGGTATTTTGATAATGGATGTTCTAGGCACATGACGGGTGTTAAATCGAATTTGATTGATGTTGTGCCTGTGTCTAATGGTTCTAGTTCTGTCACTTTTGGTAATGGTGTTAGTAATAAGGTAGTAGGAATTGGATGTTTGAACATGCCTGGTCTTCCTAAACTGGATAATGTTTTGTTGGTTGAGAACTTGAATGTCAATTTGCTGAGTGTGAGTCAGTTATGTGATCAAGGCTTCTTTGTAAGTTTCACTTTGAATGAATGTTTGGTTTCTGATAGGATTAATAATCAAGTTCTTACAGGGTCTAGATCGCATGATAATTGCTATTTAATTGATTATATGACTTTTGACTCATGTGATACGAGTTCTGGTATTGTTAGAGAATGTGATGCCGATAGGGGTTTGAATGACGTTGATCAATGGAGTACGTCTGACGGATGTTCTTACACCGATCAGAATCTTGTGACTGAAACTTGTTGTTCAGAAAAGGTGTGGATGAAGCACATTTTTCTTAAATTTGGAACTGAGGTACAAGCCATTGACCTTTTCTATGTCCATACTTGTGCGACTAATATTTCCAAATATTCTGTTCAACATTCCCTTAAGCGTACTAGCATGCGTTGCCACTTTACTAGAAATTTGGTTGATGATGGTTTAATTGTTCATAAATATGTTCCAGCACATAACCTTGATGCTCAAAGATTTATTTCTCTAAGGAAATCCTTAGAGATATGCATTCTCTGATTGCTTGCATGAATTTGCATTATATTGCATTTTATTGTATATAATAGTATATATATATATATATCTATCACATTGCTTGTAAGCATATAGGGTATATTGCATTAGGCATGCTATTGCATTTTGCATTCTCTTCACCACTAGATTCTTAATTGAAGTTCTGACTCTTCTGAAAACTTGAGCGATGTTGACTGTCTTAGACTGGCTGCGTGTTCTTACTATACTGAGGAACATACTTATTTTCAATATTTTTTGTTTTGTCAAAAAGAGCTGACCTCTCATAAATGATCTAGAGCGATATCTAGCACATGGTTCGTTTCCCAATGCGGGATCGACTGTGAAAAGAGCGTCTTGGACAGAAAATGTTGAGAAGGGCGTAAGGTAGTGACACACATTACATATTATTGTGTGATGTTTTTATGCGTAGTTATAAGGTGGTCACCCTCATAAAAACCGTAGTGCTTTAAAAAAAATGTAGGATCCTTGCTTAAAATCATGGTGCAAAGTAGTGGGGTTGATTTTCACTATTGCAGTGATTGTTATTAAGTGAAACACACTATGAATAATATGGCATGTGTTCTTGCAAAAATTGAAGTTGTGGTTTGCACTAGCGTATATACATATATCCGCTTATCTTGTATTCCTCGGGAAGTTTGAATCTCAAAGTTGATCTCTGATTGTTATCATCAAACTTGTTTAAGTTGACAAGGAAAAGATTTTATGGATCTAGTGAATTTTGTGTGCGATTTTTTTTTTTTTTTTTTT